GGAACATTGAAGCTTCGGTTTCGGACATCCCCATGCTGTCTTGTCATTACATTCAAAAGGGAGTTTTGTTGACGGCTCCTCCTTTCTCCTTCGACGACCTTGTGGTCTTCCTTCAGCAAGCTCTTTCCACTACTCTCTCTTACTTCCCTCCTTTGGCCGGCCGGCTGATAACCGACCCCGAAGGCCACGTGCGCATCGACTGCAACGACGCCGGCATTGATTTCCTTGTGGTGAAATCCCCTACGCTTTCCGTCGGGAACATTTTGTGCCCCGGTGATGTCCCCGATTGCGTCAAGGAGTTCTTCACTTTTGACAAGACAATTAGTTATTCCGGCCATTTGAAGCCGTTAGCTGCGGTTCAGGTGACGGAGTTGGTCGATGGGGTTTTTATTGGGTGCTCGGTGAACCACGCCGTGACCGATGGGACTTCGTTCTGGCACTTTTTCAACACCTTCGCTGAGATCACTAAAGGAGCTTCGAAAATATCCAAGACCCCCGATTTCTGTCGTGAAACCGTATTTAATACTCAAGCCGTGCTTAAATTCCCTCCCGGTGGACCCACCGTTACTTTCTCCTTCGACGAACCGTTGAGGGAGAGGATCTTTCATTTCAGCAGGGAAGCGATTTTGAAGCTTAAATACAGAGCTAATTACGGTTGTTTGTTAACGAAACAAACGAATTCAGAAGTTTTAGGGAAGCTCAGCAACGACAACTGGAAATCAGTCAACAGTAATACCGAGATTTCATCTTTCCAATCCCTTTGCGCTCAGCTTTGGAGGTCGGTGACACGAGCGAGAAACTGGAGTCGACCAAAACTACGACATTTAGGATGGCGGTGAATTGCCGGCACAGGTTGGACCCAAAGCTCAATCAGTACTACTTCGGGAACGCGATTCAGAGTATTCCGAATTATGCTCCGGCGGGTGAATTGTTGGCTAATGACTTGAGCTGGGGCGCCAATCTGCTTCACAAAAGCGTGGTGGCGCACGATAACGAAACCGTACATCACGGAGTGGAGGAATGGGAGCGGCAGCCGAGGTTGTTTCCGTTGGGAAACGCCGACGGAGCTTCGATCACCATGGGAAGTTCGCCTCGGTTTCCGATGTATAACAATGATTTCGGATGGGGCAAACCTTTGGCGGTGAGGAGCGGTAGGGCCAACAAGTTTGACGGAAAAATCTCAGCTTTTCCCGGGAGGGAAGAAAACGGAAGCGTTGACTTGGAGGTTGTTTTGTCGCCGGAAACAATGGCGGGTCTCGAGAACGACGCCGAGATCATGCAGTACGTATCCGAGATGGAGTTAGTGAACTGAGTTTACACTTTGCCCGTGATGCAACTCACGAAGGAGAATAATTTAATTTTTTTTCTTTTTGAAATATCCTAGCAGTTAAACTGCAATCCAAATGACGTGGATGATGTTTGGACGGTTGTGATTTCATTTGGGTAAAAAATATAAGAGCTAAAACGGTAACGTTTTGGCTGCTTTTCCCGATAGTTGGTATGTTGCTATTGTAGGCGAAAGCTTCCCTTTCAACGTGACGATATTAATGGAAAGTTTTTCTTTCACTTTTCTTGTCAAAGTATGTTATTAATCCCTATCCTATGCATAGTTATGACTTTTGTCCCTATAATTTTAGATTTTTTTAATTGAAATATCATCCATAAAATAATTAATTACCGATAATGAATTAAAGATTATTTCTGAAATTAGTACTTATTTAGCAAAAGTAATTTCTATAGATACATGACAACAGCTTTTTTTTCTATATAAATTCAAACTATTAACACTAAATTTTGAAGTTAGTCCCTATACTATGCATAGTTATGGATTTTGTCCCTATATTTGTTATTTTAAAAAAAATATTTTTGACATATAATATTATTAAATTATTAATATATATATATATATATATATATATATATCTTCAACTTAACTTAATAAAATAATTATTAAATGAATTGAACTTAACAAATCTCATTGTTATTATTTAAAATCATGAATGAAAATTGAATTCTAAAATATAGAAATTAAAATGATTAAATTAAAAGAATCTATAAGTTGTTTATAATACAGGGAGTAATAGATAGTTTCAACCCACTCTTATTGCCCTGTATAAACACATTTATTTGTGAAATATGATTTTAAATGATCAAGTTGCCAAGTTATTGGATTGAATACTTTTAAGAAAGATTTGAGTGGCAGCATTTGTAAATCAGATTATGGGATTCTAGGACTTCCAGCAATGGAATTAAGTCAAATGAGTGTTCTTTAACCTCTGATGCTCCACCATTATTTATTGATAATAATATACTTTTAAGCTTCAGAGTCCCCATGGCTCTTTGATTCTAAGTTTTGGAGGAGAATCAAATGATAATATGCACGACCCTTACATGTCAATATTGAGCTTAACTTTTTTTTCTTCTTTTAGTTAATTCAATTAACTTTTATTTTTTTTATAAACACTGGTATATGATCTATTATTCGACCAATTCAGATCAAGTGTTGTAGAGATCTAATATGGAGACGATCTTTTAATTAAATTTGTTCCATTCATAAACGTTAGAATTCAAACTCTTATCATTACTTAAGATATCTAATGCATGTGATGTTCGAGGTCGATATCAAGTTTAATTCAACTAATTTGTTTGTAAAAAATTCCACTGGGCCAACCACAGCTCTTTTGAAGCAACTTGTCGGGGGTGATCCTAGTGAACGGGTCCATAATAAGAATCCATTTAATGGTTCCAAAACTAAGGTAATTGCATGGGTAAAATTGACCCAATACTATAAGCGGTTTAATTATTTAGTTAAGTATAATATCAATCAAATTATTTAGGGGTCAATATAATAAATTTTAATAAAAAAATATTATTTTATTAAAATTCATCACGTTGGTTTCCTCTATAGTATTTGTCGTATATCCTAAAATAATTTTAAAGATGACCAAATAAACTAAATTTTTTAACTCACTAACCTATTGGGTGAATTTCGGCCATTGGCTATTATATTATATAGCCCGTCATCTTCCACCCAACAGGGACAAGGTATTTATGAGTGAAAATAGGGAAACTTCAAGTGCTGAATCTGAGCCACAGGCACTGATGACAAATCGAAGCAAAGCATTTATGTGTTAGTGTCGTCATTTGTCTCCCAGGGACTATCAGCTCATGGTTCATATCACCTTGAAACTAATGGCAGGCATTTTCTTTATGGACATGAAATTCCAATGCTGATTTGAACTCCAATTATTGCTTTGAAATTGTCTTTCCAGTAATAGGAGCTCTAAAAAATCAGGCAAATAAAGACTGTGACTGGCTTTCGCTTTTATTATGCTCTGCAATCAAAGCAGCTTTATTAAACAATGAAGTCTTTGATGACTTGACCAGGAATGCAGTCCAATAGCGATGCAAAACTGAGATCTGGGACCAAAAATGCATCCTCAGGCTCAGGCTCAGGCTCAGCAGGCAAACATTGAATTGGGGTGCCTGGTTTTCCCTCATGTTCACGCCAAGCCACACTTGTACTAGCTTATATTCAAATAGATTCCCCCCTTCTCTTTCCTTTCATCTCTTCAAAGAGGGCCAATCGCGCTACCAATTTCATTTCCAGCAAAAAGAGAAGAAAAGAAAAGCAAGGTCCTAACGCCACCTCAAAAGCAACGCTCAGTGCTTGTCTCCCTGTGTTCCCTTTGCTCCTGCTACTACTCGCTCTTTATTCTTGACCAATGCCTGCAAAAAACACAGACCTTTTGTTCTCTCGTATAGGGCTAGTAATAGTGACATCCGGAGTCTGAGGGGGAGTTTTGGGTATCAATAATTAGTGGATTTAAACAGCAAATATACATCGGAATGCGCCAGATGCATGTGAAAAATTTGGAATGCTCTGTTGAAAAGAGGAGGGTTTTTTTTTTTGGTTTAGTCCATTGGATTAGTAATTAGTCCATTGAGGTCAACATCTATGAAAATTAATATGGCCACACCCAAAAATTAATTCCCCTGCCAATTACTCATTTCGATGACACAAATCCTTCCTATTCCTTGCCCATTTTCCTATTCAGCTTTCACTTCATAACACCACAATTCATCAATAAATACCCTCTAAAATCCTTACCAACTGCCCCTTCTTTGCATTACATTTCAGACATCCTTTTTCCTTTATTTTCTCCTTTCCTCGAGTCAAGCATGTCGAGAAGAACGAGCAAGCGAGTGAGTTTCGGCCCCGACGTCGGTGAAAAGCCGACAATGTTTCTCAAGCATGGAGGCAGCGGTACGACGACTACGACGAGAGGTAACAAAAGAAGGGTTGTCTTTGGGATTTTCATGTTCAGGGTTGTCAGAAGCTCAAGCTTTTCACCGGCAAGCATTTTGAGACATGTTGGAGCTAAAGTCGCCGGAGCTTTGCGGTTCGTATCCATTAGAGGGAACAACTCTTCTTCACGCAAGGTTTCTGCTTCCAAGCTGTCCAGGTCTCGGTCACTGGCGGAATCAGTTGAGTCTCATCGCGCTGAAGCTATTAAAGATTGCATCGAGTTCTTGAATTCTTCTTCATCTTTGTCGAGATCAAACTCGGTTTCTACATGTTCTTGCTAGCAGATTTGAGTAAAACATATGAAAATTAAAGGGGAAACAAAAGGGATTCGTTTAGTTTCCAACATTAGATGTAGAGAAACACATGCATATCTATTCATTAGATGATTGAGAAATCTCATGAACAAATTTATGACCATAAATTTTCCTGAAAACGGACCATTCAAATGAGAAAAATCAATGGGACCATAGGTGAAAGCTCAGCAAACTATCCCACTCGGTTTCTCATTTATTTCAGTTCTTTGAATCTAAACATTGTTCAATAAATTCTTATAGCTAATATGCCATGGGTTTAGTTCAATGATTAATGGTTAAAAACTAGAATATAAATTTTGAATTTGAATGAAATTCCTTACAAAATACAATGATCATTGTTTGAAACAAAGTATGACTCATAGTTTGAGGGACAGACAAGGAAACAACAAACCGAAAGTACACGGATAGTATAAAAATCAAGAACGGTAATCACTGTTTCTCCATTAATAACACCATTTTCTCAAGTCAGAAATCCGAAGGCGGATTTTTCAAGGTCTCGGATTCCATGACTGGAAGCTTTCTTCATTTCGAGAGCTCTTTTATAGGGAGGAGCAATGGGGGGCTGAACAGGATCCAAACTCTGGTAAGTTCCATCGGCAACTTTCGGTAGTGGATATGAACGGTCGGAGTCATATCCACTTAGATCCCCACAAGCTAAAAACGGTATATAAACCTTATTCGGGCCCTCTAACCATCCACTACTGCAATCTGACAAATGGATAAAGGAAATTGAATTATGTTCACAAATTCTCAAGTAGAGAATGGGATTCTTTGTAACCGGATGTCCACTTACCTAGATCATCTACACCTGAGGGACTGCCCACCATCTCCAAGAGGCGATGCAAGTCTTTCGGATTGAATCCTTCTGGAGGTGAATAATTCTCACAAACTGCAAATGCCTCTGTGATAGAAATAAGACTTGCATTAGCCACTTTCTGCTTAATGTCAAGTTGTTTAGAAATTGTTATGAATCAATAAATCCAAAGGCGGAAACGAAAGGAAGTAAACACGAAATATAACGCGTAATGTATAGCTGCCCCAGCTTATACAGAGCAATATAGAGCATTTCATAAGTTCCCATTGGAATGAATGAGCCAATGCCTCATATTCACTGAAGAAGAAAAACTATTTTGCTCCACAAACAATTTTAAAAAATTGTATGAAAGAAAAAGTTAGAAGATTCTAAGGATAATACAATCATTACATCAACATATATATGTAAAGTAAAAATGGTGAGTTGTCAAGGATTACTACATGTATGTCCATGCATGTTATCCTTACCTATGCTAGAGTTTCTGCTGCTTTTTGGTTTTGCAAAAGTCACTACAGGAAAGAATAATTTCAGCTGCAATGAAGAAGCAAAAGGAGTGGGTTACTGTAATAAGCTTTATATCTTACAAACTTGGATACTAAAATTGAGAGTATTTAGAATTTAATTTACCTGGCAGTACAGAAGACTTGTATCTTTTCCGCGAAATATTTTTGCAATAAATTTTCCACCTTGTCTAAGTATATGAGTAACAATTGTTAAACCCTGGATTAATAACAAAACCATATAAGCCGACTGCCAAATTTGGGGGAAAAAGACAGCAAGAATAAGATGCAAAATGCAGTATAACCATATTATTTAAGTTTCACAAATAGCAATATTTGATAAAACCTGGCTGGCAAATTTTCCATATCCAAGGAAAACTGCTTTGATCCCCTACCAGAAGGTTTTCTGCTAATGAATCTATATTCAACATCATTCTGTTCTAGTTTTCTTTCTCAATCAAAGCATTGGATTTCTAAATTCTGATAGGGAACCCGGAATTCCTTCTAGCGATTGTTTTATTATTTTTATGGATTCCATCATTAACTGATTCGGACTAAATAATACATTATCTCAATTCCATCCATGCACATCACACCCAGAATTATTCAAAAACTGAGTTTCACGTTATAGAAGCAGATCAACATAAGAGGAATTAGAACACTTACTGCGAGTATGAGTTGGGACTGAACAAATTCATCCATGTCATGAAGACCAGTAACTGCAAATCCAGAGAGAATAAAGCAAACTTAAGAAGCATAAGGGGGAAAAACAGTAACAGCTACAATGCTGAAGGCCGTAAGCTAAGTTAGAAACCGTAAATATTGTTGTACCATCAGGAGCACCATCACACACAACGAGGTCAGCCTTACAGCCATCAAAATGTCTAATTACCTGCAAATTACTCAAATAAACAAGAAATGGTATTGATGGCACATACACAACTACGCAAGCTAAATAAACATAAGGTAAAACAATTTAAACCATGGCTCCAAGAAGAAAATCATGTACGTCCACCATTCACATTTTCTAACACCCTCATGATAATAAGAACAAGCACAGACATCATATATTATAAAAGTGGATCAAGGATTCCATTTATCATGTAACTATCAACATATTATTGAATCTAAGTGGAAAGCTAATAATTACGGTTCAACATCAAAACAACATGCAAACACTCCACTGAAGTAAACAAAATTTACATTCAAGGATTTTCCTAATGTGAACATCCAAAACTTCTAATTATCATAAACTAGAAGACGGATTAAAAACAATTCAATTAAACAAAATGAAATCCTCACCACTTCAGCAGTCCGGGCATTAGTTATGTCGCCCTGCACTTGGATTACACCTTCAATTGGAGCCATTGGCTGCAGATCGATGGCGACAATAAGAGGAAGCTCACCATCCCTGCAAATTATGATAAAGTTAAGGTAAAAGGTACCAGCAAAACAATATTTTTAAGGCACAAAAGAATGAGCAGGCAAGACCAAACTACAAGGTGTATGCTTTTGCAAATCTCCTTAGTCCTAGGCAAAGAAATGGACTCTGAACGCATGAACTAGGGAAATGAACACACACACACGCACAAAAAACAGAAAAATAACTTACTTTGAAGCAGGCGACTGCTTAGCAGGGAGATACAATTTGCGGCTCAAAACCTGACTCCAGCTACCTGGTGCAGCACATAAGTCTACCACGCGCTTTACTCCTACAAATAAGATCAAATCAAATCAGAATCAGAATCAAATCAAATCAATGGATGCAATGATCTATGTTAGTATGTATGCATATACATATATTTGAGAAACTGACCTTGAAAGATGTTGAATTCTTCGTCAATCTGGAGAAGTTTAAAAGCACTTCGAGCACGCCAACCTTCTTCTTTCGCTTTCCGATAGTAAATATCCTGAAGGTCAAACAGTTCATCCTTGTTACATAAGTTGCAAAACCACCCAAAATCCCAACAAAGAAATTAAAACCCTAAAAAAACTCACCCTCTTATCCCTGGAAGCTTTTCCCATTATTATCCAATCCAAGTGCGCGGAGGAGTATGGCTGTTTCCAAGCTGTTGCTTTAAAACCCTGCCGCCGAGGTCGAGGGTTTTACAGTAAAACGGGGTTACCGGACAATCAAGAAGAAAATTGGGGCTGAACGCTAAAGGCGAAGACTACGTACCCATAAGAAGATAATTGGGCCGTGAAAGAAAATTTGATCCAATGGACTTGGTTTCTTCTTCAATCTCATTCATTTCTTATTGTGGTAATTTTAAATGCTTCAAGTTCAACCCCATGAAACATATTCAAAATACCATGTACTCTTTGGTTCAAAAAAGAGTTCCATTCATAAACTCTGAAGGCTACCTTACTTTCCAAGTAAAAGTACCTTAAATTTCACTCTACAACTCTCAGTTTGATGTAAGTAATATGAAAAAGAGTGTCCCTAAGGCGGAATGTCCTTAAATGTTGGTACAAAATTTGATGGGCGTCCTTTATGTACTTTTCTTCTTCTTTTTTAGTAATTATAATCAATTATCCAAAAATATAGTTCTAGAGATAATTCATATATAGTAAACCTTGAATCAATATGAACAAATGTGAGCTGAAATTCATACCTACATAAATTTATGCATGATCATAATTGAATCTAAGACCTTAAGAACCAAGTCACTTTAATGGCCTCTTAACTCTAAATTTTCAAGATAGACCATTTGACAATAAATGTTCAATCACGTTGTTGGAGTCGTTGATGGTTGAACCCGTGACCTTTAGGAACAATAATTATTCTTATAACCATCCAGCTCAGTTGGTAGAGCACAAGGTTCTTAACCTTGAGGTCGTGGGATCGAGTCCCACGGAGGGCATTTCATAATTCGGAGGTCTCTTACGGAAGCTGCTCTCAATCTGGTGTTGGGGGTAACCTACTATCTTACCTTCCCCTTACCCCATATATATGAGAAAAAGGGACAACCATTTTTTGATTTGTGGACATACATCTTTTTTTTAAATACAATCTCGCTAAATGATTGAATTTAAGGTTTATACATATATGTTACAACCTCTTATCTAACTCATGTTTGCATTATCGCGAACATATGATATGTTATGTATATGTGGTGTGTTTCTTTTTAGGCATCAATTTTTTTTCCAGAATATTTTACCCCTTCAATTTTGAATTGAATATTTTATAATTTAAATTTTATTTTATTTTCGTTGACAATTGAATAATTTTTTATTTACAATTCAAATAAATTTTTAGTTAGAACTCAGAACTGATAAATTAAGGAGTATACATAAAAACTCATTTCAAATAAAAAAGGAAAAAGTTAAATTAAATATGATAAACTAGATCTACTAATTTATTTTTTAATGTTTAAACGTAACATATTAACTCAAGGAATAATTATTGTATGATTTAATTTGTTTTGAGAATATTTTAGAATTTTAATAAATTTTCTGGGAACTATATATATAGATATATATATATATATTGTTTTTTTTTGTAAATTTATGGAGAATTTTTATAGTTCTGTTAAAAATTTGAAGTTTATTTCGATTTCTTTCGTGAGAGTAACCAATTTGCTTATTTTCAAAATTGATAGTAATCCAATGAGTATATAGACTAATTTGTTAATGGATTTTTAGATAGGCATAATACAACAAAATAACCCTAACGTTTGACAATAGTGTCAAATTTACCCGTATTATTTTTTTTTAACATTTGACCACTGAACATTTAACTTTAGGTAAAAAATCACCGTTGATAGATGGAAACTGTCAGTTAACTGACGGTCAATGTCATATGCTGACGGAGTAAGCACACATGGACATGGAAGCTAACGTGGCATGTCCATGTCAGAGATAATGATGACGTGGTTATACCATGTCAAAATTTTTAAAATTAAAATAAATAATTTTATGATTAATATTATTTATATTTAATTATTTATGATCAATTAGAGAATGACATGTGTCACTCTATGGTGGCGAAAAGCATGGATGTGAAGATTCTACCGATATCGAATCCGACGACAACATCGAAAAATATAGCTTCTGACCAACAATTATGGTTCTTGAATATCCGATGAAACAGTCAACGACATTATCAAAAACCCATAATCAAAAACTCAAAACAAAACCTAAAAATCTCTTCTTTTTACGAAATCATACTATACTTCGTCTTCAACCTTGAGATGAATACTAATTTCATTTGCTGAGATAAAATAATGGTAATTTTAGCTTGAAAACAACAAAACAATAATCAACAAAATTAACATAAAATCAAAGAATTACCCTATTTGAAAAGAAGGTTCAACCAAATCATTGTCTTCAAACCGATAAAAATGTTCAAAACTAAGTCTATCTATTCTAGTATATTATGAATTTCTAAATGAAAATCCCTCGAAAATGAAAGCCGAAAAAACCCAGAAGAAAACAAAAAAAACAGAACCCAAAAACAAGAAATGGAAGAACAAGAATACCAGATTGCTTCGAGAGAATATTTGCTTTATTTTCATTCGGTTGAGGAGAAGAACAAGAACATGGGTGTTGATTTTTGAAACTAAAAAAGGGGAAAAGAAAGGAAATAACAAGAACATGTGTGTTGATTGTTGGAACTAAAAAAGGGGAAAAGAAAGGGAGAAAGGAAGAGAAGGTCACGCGTTTATTTTTTTTCATTAAATTTAAATTTAAGTATATATTAAATAGGGTTTGTTTCATCATTTTACAAAGTAAATAGTTTGGTCTGGTGGTAAAAGCTATCTATCCCACATTATTTGGCCAAATTTGAGTCCGCTCTCATGTATATATTTTGATAGTTCTTTCAAACCAACATCAATAAGAGAGTGACACATGTTATTATCTAATTGATAATAAATAAATAAATAATTAAATCATAATAATTTTATTTTTTATTTAAAAAATCTGATGTGGCATTGCCACATCATCATCTACCATGACCTAGATATGCCACATCAGCATTTCCCTCCACCTATTCTTGCTTAGTCAACTCCAAGCGACCGTCAGTTGACTAATAATTTTCATCCATAAAAGGTGATTTTTAACCCAAAGTTAAACTTTCATTGGTCAAATGTTCCAAAAAAATAATACGGGCAAGTTTGACAGTTTACACTAATGTCAAACATTAGGGGTATTTTTATTGTATTATGCCTTTTAAATATTCAAATTGTAAAAATTTAACCGAGTTGAAAATGGAAAGTTAAAAAAATATTTGAGTTGATTAAAAAATAAATAACTCAAAAAATAAATTGTAAACATTACAAATTTAAAATATAAAATTAAAATATAAATTTTACACAAATTATATATTAAATAATAACCCTTTGATGTAATTGTAATTGCTAACCAGTATATTTTACAGTTTTAACTTGTCCAACACATAGCAACAAAATTATTTCTGTTTTTTATTGAGACAAACATACAATAAATGTTGAGTTGTTGCAATTAAAGAGAGCGAATTTAAGAGCTGCAGCAGATGTGGGACTGATTGACAGTGTGGCTAACAATAGAATGCCAGCGTTTGGAGTAACAATTCTCTGCCAGAGCCACGTTCATTATTAATGCATGAAAATGTACATATAAGGCCAATCCAGCTGATTCTATTCAAAGCCATTTGCTAACGGACCACTCAAATTTAGGTCAACCCAATGAATTTTCCACTATTCTCCTTTACCTTTTTATGGTTATGTAAATTCTGAATCATATCATTTGTTTGCTAATTTTGGGGACATTAATGGTACGGGGCTACACAACAAGTCAGCTGCATACCCTGCAATTTCATCTAATCGTTGCTTATTATTCCTTGACATTGAGTCGGAAAAATACTAAGATGCAGATAGATAGGAAATGGCCAGTGGCCACTAGCACATTAAATATTTGTTTCTATAAAAAAAATAGTACCAAAATATACATAGTTGTTACTCTTTTCAGAATTAGCATCACAATCGGTTTTTAATTGTAAGACAGTTTTTAACACAATGCAAAACAATAGGAAAACTAATATAAATTATCTTCTTCTTCTTCTTTTGATTAAGCCTTTTCCTTTTCCTGTTTTTTTTCCTTCTTGGATGGAACCCGACCATCGGTTCCGGCAAGCATAGCGTACTTATCTTTCCTAGTCAAGTTCGTGCAATCGAATCCCAATGTCCCGGCGAGCACCCTTTGGATGTAGTTTGCAACTTCAATGGCTGATTTTCCACCTTTGAAAGTGAGTTCTGTAGGCAGCTGGTTCAAGAAGGTGATCTCGTAAGTAGGCATCGGGTTCATGAACACGAAATAAGGGTCCAACAACTTGTGACCCCGAACCGTTGTCCCCTGGAAGACTGATTGCTTCGTGTTGATTGCGACCGGTACAATCCTGTCGGTGAGTTCGGCAAACAGAGCACTGAATCTTAGAAGGAACGGTTCCCTGCAAGTCGTCCCTTCGGGACATAGAACCAAATCGCCCTCCTCGAGAATGCGCTTGATGTTGGCCGCATCTTTCTCTCTTTCCCTCGATAACGCGACAGCCTTAATTAGCGAAATAATCTCGGTGAATTTGCTAATGCTGTAAGTAACACAAGTGATTTTTCGGCCTAAGGCCACGGCTGTCACAACTGGGTCCAACACCGTTCTATGGTTACAAACAAAGAGGACCCCACTCTGGCCTTTCCCTGGTGGCGGTGTACCCTTAACAATCAGTTTGATCCCTAAGAGCTTGTAATTGTACCGAGCGATTTGGTCCGGCAACGGGATGTTTGTGTAAACCCGGAGTAGGGAGAGGATGAAGCCTATGGGAAGCCATAGGAAGGTCAAGAGGGCAGCCAATGGTGTAGGCCTTTGGACAAGGCGACCTTCATGGAATATAACAGGGCTTAGAAGCTTGTTCCTTGGTAATGGATCACATTTGGCTCTTGGCACCATGTATCCTTCCTGCACATACCAACAAAAAATCACCGTAAAAAATTCCAAGCATATGCTAAATGTTGTTCTTTTTATTACAAAACATAGTTAATTTATGAGTAGAGTTACTATATTTATGGGCTACACATGTTTCTTTCATGTAAGACTTTCCATGCAAGCAACAACACCAAAATTATGAAATAAATAAATACAAATGCATTGAACATCACGAG